CAAAGTTACAACAAATACTTCGTATTTAATAGAGGTAGTACTAATTTTTTTTTTTTTGAGGGAAAGGTAGTACGAGCTTTTATTAATTCCGCCGGAGTAATGATACTCTGCGGGAAAGGTTCAGTACAAACAAGTTCTTCACAAGATTTGGTAGTACTAATTGTTTTTCCTTGAACATACATACGGTAAATCGATAATACAAAGTAATTAAGTAAATCCCGTGCATTACCATAAGGGGGTGTTTGTTTAGGGGGATAAAGTGAGGGGGATATGATAAAAAAAGGAGGGATTTAATATGTCCTTTGTTTGTTTAGAAGGATGAGGATTATGAGGGGGGATAGGAGGGGGATTAAAAAGGGAGTTATCCCTCCAAATTAATAACTTAGGGGGTGGTATAAATATGGGGATTAAATATAATGGGTAAAAGACATTATTACCCTTAATGAAAGAAAAAGAAGAAGAGAGTGAATAAAGGATAGTAAGGGTAATTTTGTACTTTTATTAGTTATTCCAATCTAATCCCAACCCCTACCAAACAATGGAATGCACTATTTTTATCCTTATCCCATTTATTAATCCACCTTCTTATCCCATCTTCTTATCCCATTTAATCTCATCCCTCCTACCAAACGCTTTAATCTCATCCCTCCTACCAAACGCCCCGTAAATACATGGGTACAGTCGAGTATTCTAAATTTGTACTCGTAAGCTATTTTTTAGGCAAGTAAAAGCCAACTACAACTCTGTATTGTAAACGTAAAATTATCTGCTTAAAGTACTTATAAAGTTTCCTAAAACCAAAAAAAAACGACTCTACTGTATTCTCTATAAAATAAAATTTCTTCTCCCTTAAACTGTTTTTTGAATCCTCCATTGAAGCGGCTTTTGACCTTTCTTTTCAGTCTCGAGTCTCCACCATTGAAAGTAACGACTTCTGAGGTAAGATATTGCAATTTTTGCTGTTCAAATTTTTCATAGTTTGGTTTACATGTTGGAAATAGGTAATGCAAAAGGATGCTCGCGCCCGATCGGGCGGTGTTCGCCCGATCGGGCGGAGGTGGCCAAGGAAAATAGGAGAACTCTCGCGCCCGATCGGGCGGCGGACTCGAGTTTTTGACGAGCCTGATCGAGCGGCTAAGCCCGATGGCTCGCCCGGAATGGGGTTTCTAGATCGCCCGACCGGGCGGTGTTCGCCCGATCGGGCGCGACACCAGGTCTGGAGAAACTTAATCTCGCGCCCGATCGGGCGGCAGCTCGCCCGATCGGGCCCGCCTTTTTTCCTAGGTCGGTTTGCTTTGCGTGTTTCTTTTTCCGGGACTCATATATATACGAGTCTTACCTTTTCATGAGATTCATTCACTTTCTATCCGAAAACACAAACCTACCTTTTGAGATCTGAACAGTTCTTGAGCAATTCCACTCTTTGAGTTCGGGTGCACGGATTACGGAGAGAGTTGCGTTAAACTTGGGGGGCGTGCGTTACTAGGAAACTTGTACCGATGGTGGTGTATTTCGCTTCTAAGGCAGTGGATTTTGTTCCACGGCGCGACTGTGAGTTTGGGATATTCAATCCATGAAAGTTCTAATCTTTGTTTGTTATTGATTTCAACAGTTATTTTACCAACAATTTAGAAGCGAAATATTTTGATTTATTCTGTTGATATCATGATTAGCAATTCTCAAACTTGTATATACCTAGAACTGTCTAAGGTTGAGTCTCTTGATGGAATTAATTATAAGAGATGGTCACAAAGGATGTTGATTGCTTTTGAACAAGTAGAAATTGATTATGTTTTGTTTAGGGATGCTCCAAAACCTATTGAGCAAACCAATACCATGATTGAAATTCCTAGTACTCCTGTTGCTGGGAATAAAGAATTTAGCTCTAGTCAAAGGACCACTACTGTTATTGCTAATGAATACGAAATCAAGAAATTTGACCGTGATAATAAATTTGTTAGAGGTCATCTTTTGAACAGCATGAAAAACAACATATTTGATTTGTATGTTAATATGAAATCTGCTAAGGAGATATGGGAGTCTTTAGAGAAGAAATATGGTGCTAATGATGCTGGGAAAAAGAAGTATGTGACTGGAAATTGATTGAATTTCAAATTGGTTGATACAAAGCCTATTATGGACCAAGTCCATGTGTATGAAAATTATGTTGCTGAAATTCTTGCTCAGGGTATGAAGATGTGTGAAATCCTTCAGGCTAATGTTTTGATTGAAAAATTACCTGATTCCTGGTCTGATTATAGAAATCACCTCAAGCATAAAAAGAGGGATTTAACCCTAGAAGAACTTGTGAGCCACATGAAGATTGAGGAAGCCAACAGGCTTAAGGATGTTTCCTCTAAGCCAAAGAAGTGTTAGCAATCAAGGCTAACCTTGTTGAAGCTGGTGCTGACTCGGACAAGAAAGCAGGTGATAATCGTGCCAAGAAGGGGAGCTCTGAGAAGAAGGGAAATCTCCAAGATAAGGGCAAGATTGGGAAGAAAGTCACTGTCAAGTGTTGGTCATGTGGTGAAGTGGGACACTTTGCTTCACAATGCAAAAACAAGAAGAAGAAAAATCTGAAATCGAGTGGAGGAATCAAGGGTCATGCTCATCTGGTTGAGAATGAGGATGAAGATGTCATTGCTGCAGTTATTTCTGAAGTCAACCTGGTTGAGAACAATAGTGAATGGATCGTGGACACTGGTGCATCTAAACACTTTTGTGCTAACAAGGACCTGTTTGTCAGTATGGAAGATGCAAAGGAAGGTGAACAAGTCTACATGGGAAATTCAAGCAGCTCCGAGGTACTTGGAAAGGGCAAAGTGGTTCTGAAGCTGACTTCAAGGAAGACCTTGGCTCTTCACAATGTGCTGTATGTTCCTTCTCTTCGTAGAAATTTAATTTCTAGTGCTTTGTTGAACAAAGTAGGAGTTAAGTTAGTTTTTGATGCTAATAAACTTGTGTTAACCCGTAATGGGGAGTATGTTGGAAAGGGTTACCTTAGTAGGGGCCTATTTGTTCTTGAGATTGTAACTGTTCCTTCAATGAATAAGATTTCTACTTCTGCTTATATTGTTGAGTCCTTTGAATTATGGCATAGTAGATTGGGTCATGTTGGTGCAACAAAATTGAAACAAATGAAAAGTTTAAATTTGCTCCCAAATATGTCATTAGATGGATTTGAAAAATGTGAAGTGTGTGCGGGGTCTAAATTCGTGAAGAAACCCTACAAATCTGTCACGAAGAGAGAGACCACACCACTTGAGCTAATTCATTCAGATTTAGCAGACTTTATGAACTTGGAAAGTAGAGGCGGGAAACGCTACTATATCACCTTCGTTGATGATTGTTCGAGATATAGCTAGGTGTATCTTTTAAGGACGAAGGATGAAGCTGAGTCCAAGTTTCTTGTGTATAAGGCAGAGGTAGAAAATCAATTGGAGAGGAAAATAAAGAGAGTTCGCTCAGATAGGGGTGGAGAATATGGCTCCGATTTCCTCAAGGACTTATGTGAAAGTGAGGGAATCATTCACGAAGTATCGGCCCCGTATACTCTGCAACAAAATGGTGTGGCAGAGAGAAAAAATAGGACCTTGAAGGAAATTATGAATGCAATGCTCCTAAGTTCCGGGTTGCGAGACAATTTGTGGGGTGAAGCGGTTCTATCAGCTAATTATGTACAGAACAGAGTAACTCACAAGAAGTTAGACAAGACTCCATATGAAATATGGAAGGGTTATGCCCCAAACTTGAATCACATGAAAGTGTGGGGGTGTCTAGCTAAGGTGGGTTATCCATCGTTCAAGCGCTCAACTATAGGTTCTAGGACCTATGATACAATATTCATTGGCTATGTTGAGAATAGTGTCGCATACAGGTTTATGAATTTGGAAGATCGCTCTATATCTGAATCTCGTGATGCAGAGTTCTTTGAACAGGTATTTCCTTTGAAGAAAAACTTAGTTACTAATGATGTTTCTTCAGTTCCTTCATCTGCAGAGCCAGAAGATGCTTCCCCTAGGATTGAAAGTGAGATTCAACCTAGGAGAAGTAAAAGGCAAAGAGTGGAGACAAGCTTTGGACCTGATTTCCTAACAGCCTTTATAGCAGAGTGCGGAAATCTAGGTGAGTTCGAAGATGATCTAGATGAGATCATGCTGTGTCTACAGGTTGTGGATAAAGATCCGAAATCGTTTGAAGAAGCTATGAGTTCAGTAGATGCAACCTTCTGGAAGGAAGTTGTAAACAGTGAGCTTGACTCAATCATGTCAAATGGAACCTGGGAGCTTGTGGACCTGCCAAAAGGGAGCAGAGCTATTGGGTGCAAGTGGATTTTCAAGAGAAAAATGAGAACCGACGGTTCAAAGCTAGATTGGTGATAAGAGGATTCACTCAAAAATTTGGCCTTGATTATTTTTATACTTATTCTCCTGTGACTAAAATTGCCACTATTCGTGTTTTGTTTGCCTTTGCTTCATCTTACAACTTGATTGTGCATCAGATGGATGTTAAGACAGCTGTTCTGAATGGCAATTTGGAGGAGGAGATCTACATGGAGCAACCTCCGGGTTTTGTAGTTCCTGGGATGGAGAATAAGGTGTGCAGACACTACTACAAAAATGGCCTAAGACACCGGGCAAAACATGCATAAGAAACCGGAAAAGGAATGGTGCCTAGGTAGTAGGTCTCTTATCCTAAGAGACTAAAACTTTTTACTGGTTTCTTAGAATAATTAAAGAGACCAGTTATGAATTCCAACTGGTCTCTTAGATCCTTGTAAAGATGAAATAAGGCAAAGGCACCGAATTCGTTAGAGCACTGGTTTCTTTAATACATGCTAAGACACCTTTTCGTCAAGATGACCGGTCTCTGCCTATTTTTTTTTTAAAAAATATTAATAACGCAGCGTCAAGCTGTCATTATTCACTAAAAATACGCACATCGTGCTAATTACAAATGAAACTGACACTTGAACCAGAAAAAAAGTAAAGCAAATCAACTTGACAAAATGTATAATCACATATCTAATTAATAACATAAAGATATACATGGATTTAATAACACCATTAAAGTATTATTTTATTTATTATAAACTCAATTTACATCACTTACAACAATTAAAAACAGTCCTATTACTGTCTAAAATAAAAAATACTATTATATCCAACATCTTCAGTCTTGATCAGATTCAATCCATATATTTTCTTTGCTGCACTTTCTTCCACTACAAAATCAATAATTATACATAAAAATCAATTGAATCTTAACAAATGATATAAATTACTTAAAACATACAGTATAGGATTACATTTAAAAAAAAAAAAACCAATAAACATAGGTCCAACGAAAATCGAATTATAGCTGACTTTTTAATAATTGATTAATCTATTTACCATAGATCTGAAATTAAATACACAATTGTAAAATAATTGAATAATTTCGTTCTTTCTTTTAACTCAATTAGTCAATTCGGTAATTAAATAGCAAAAATCTAATTTTTATCTCTCTAATTTCAAAAATTTACAACAAAGAAAAACTTTAATTTCACAGAGGAATTTAAGCTTACTAGAACTTTAATTAAATTGACATTCTTGCTCGAACATGACGGCTTGATAGGGAGGTGACGACATGATAATTGTTTTGGAATATTTTTACTAACGGAGATTGAAAAGGGCTTACCAAAAAATCCTAGGAGAACGAAGATGACCTTGTTAAGATATGGCGGTGCGATGAAATGACAATAGCAAGAAGAGCGACAGATCTGTTGATGGAGAATATAAGCTAAGGATGAGAGAAATGGGGGAAAAGGGGCGGTTTATAAGAAGATAAGGATTAGAGGAATGGGGAAGCCAAGAAGGGGCGGTTTATACGAAGTATGAAGGTAATTTAGTTTTTTTTTTTATTTTTTTTATTTCCTTAAATACAAAATGAAATATAAGAAACCGGATTTAAGTCATGTATGGTTACTTATTTAAGCATCTAAGAAACCAAATATCTCTTTTGTAGGGTTTCTTTATCTAAGAAACCGGTTTTTTGTAATGTATGGTTTCTTATTTTCCACCTAAGAAACTAGATTTCTTTCCTATACGGTTTCTTTATCTAAGAAATCGGATTAGTGCTTTATATGGTGCTTTAAGAGTGGTTCCTTAGGCCATTTTTGTAGTAGTGAGACTAAAGAAATCCTTGTATGGCTTGAAACAAGCTCCGAAGCAATGGTATGAAAAATTTCATAAAACTGTTCTTAGTTTTGGTTTTGTTGTCAATGGTAGTGATGCATGTGTGTACTCTAAGATGTTTGGTGCGCAATGTGTGATATTATGCCTGTACGTTGACGACATGCTCCTTTTTGGCACAAACATGTATGTCATAAATGAAACTAAGAAGTATTTAAATTCAAAGTTCGAGATGAAGGATTTGGGAGAGGTAGATGTGATCCTTGGTGTTAAAGTTACTAAAACTAAGAAAGGGTATTTTCTGTCTCATTCTCATTATGTGGAGAAAATTCTGAAGAACTTTAATTGTTTTGATTTGCCTCCATTGAGAACTCCCTTTGATCCTTCTGGAACTTTGGTGAAAAATGTGGGGGACGGTGTATCTCAAACTGAATATGCTAAGGTGCTTGGTAGTCTGATGTTTTTGATGAACTACACTCGCCCTGATATTGCTTTTGCTGTTAGTAGACTTAGTCGCTATACTCATTGTCCTAGTGAGCAACATTGGGTTGCTTTGAAGCGTGTGCTCAGATATCTATGTGGAACCGTGTCTTGGGGATTGAATTTTGTTGGTCATCCTTTGGTTCTTGAAGGGTATTGTGATGCAAATTGGGTAACGAATAGTGATGAAACAAGCTCTACGAGTGGCTATGTGTTTACCCTTAGTGGGGGTGCAGTTTCATGGAAGTCTGGTAAGCAGACGTGTATAGCTAGATCAACAATGGAAGCTGAGTTCATCGCATTGGATCTTGCTACACAAGAGGCAAATTGGTTGAGAAATTTACTTATTGATATTCCCTTGTGGGGGAAGCCGTCACCACCTGTGTCGATGCATTGTGATTCACAAGCTGCTATATGTGTTGCTAAAAACAGCGTTTACAATGGTAAGAAAAGGCACATAAGAGTCAGACACGAGTCTGTGAGGCAGTTTATTGTGAATGGGGTTATTTTGTTGGACTATGCTCGAACAGAGAAAAACCTGGCAGATCCTTTTACTAAGGGATTAAGTCGTAGACTAGTGGTGGAGTCATCAACTGGTATGGGTTTAGGACCTATGTTGTAATGACTTGAAATGGTAGCTATTCTAGCTATGTGACATGACAATTTGGTTTTAATAAATCTGGAACCTGTTTTGGTTTATTTGTTTCATTGGCATGAATCATGTGGATTTGTTATATATGTATCATGTGTTTGAATCTATTACTCTATAAGAGTGGTAAGTTTTACCAGTTAGATTCTGCTAGGATGAGTTTGTCTCTTAATGTCATTAGTCCAGTTGTTTTCCGAGCAGGGATAGATTGAGGTTCTTAAGAGAGTTAAGACCTTTGTCCCATTAGTTCTTAAAACAGGATAGATAACGACACCGAAAGTTGAAGGGTTGAACTTATGTTCTTAATGTTCTAGTTCTATTGCATGTAATTCTCTGGTTTGCAAGGTGCTTAAACATGTTTAAGCCTACAGGGAAAGACTTTTGAATTTGCTGGGAACGTGTGTGAATAACACATAGGATGAACACCTACGTGAGCACGAGAGGTGGCCTCTCTCAAGGGAAGACTGGAGTATTGTTTTCCTGAAGTACTCATGAGAGCCCAAGTGTTGGCCAAGATTGGCGGAGTTGCTTAAGTTCTAAAGTCAAGGTATGTGTATTCAAGGTCCCTTCCTCTCTCCTAGGAGTTCAAATCTTAGGATACTCACTAGGGAAGTGTTGAAAACCTTGTGCACTAATGTGTTAGTTCAAACCTTTGGATACTAGCATTTAAGTACTAAGACTTTCATTTACTGTTCAGATTTCATGTTGAAGATCCGCTCGCATTAGTGGGGGATTTTTGGAAATAGGTAATGCAAACGGATGCTCGCGCCCGATCAGGCGGTGTTCGCTGGACCGGGCGCCCGACCGGACGATGTTCGCCCGATCGCGCGGAGGTGGCCAAGGAAAAAAGGAGAACTCTCGCGCCCGATCGGGCGGCAGACTCGAGTTTTTGACGGGCCCGATCGGGCGGCTTAACCCGATGGCTCGCCCGGGATGGGGTTTCTAGATCGCCCAACCGGGCGGTGTTCGCTCGATCGGGCGCCCGACCGGTCGCCTGACCGGGCGGTGTTCGCCCGATCGGGCGCGACACCAGATCTGGAGAAACTTAATCTCGCGCTCGATCGGGCCCGCCTTTTTTCCTAGGTCGGTTTGCTTTGCGTGTTTCTTTTTCCGGGACTCATATAAATACGAGTCTTGCCTTTTCATGAGATTCATTCACTTTGTAGCCGAAAACACAAACCTACCTTTTGAGATCTGAACAGTTCTTGAGAAATTCCACTCTTCGAGTTCGGGTGCATGGATTACGGAGAGAGTTGCGTTAAACTTGGGGGGGGGGGCGTGCGTCACTAGGAAACTTGTACCGGTGGTGGCGTATTTCGCTTCTAAGGCAGTGGATTTTGTTCCACGGCGCGACTGTGAGTTTGGGATCTTCAATCCAGGAAAGTTCTAATCTTTGTTTGTTATTGATTTCAACAGTTATTTTACCAACATTACATAACCCTTTAATTTGGTAATCTGGCCAATTTAGAGGTACTATTTGTTTTAATCTATTGAATGTTAATTTCACATAATCGTTGGTTTTACTCAATTTAGGGTTCTGAACTGAAATATTGGTTGTGATTAAATACGGTTGTTAAAATATTGCAATTCATAATTGAGGTTTTTAAATTTAGGCTTTGTTTGGAACATTAGTTATAATTAAATACTCATGATGCTGGTTTCTAAAATTTTGCTATTCATATTTTTGATAGTTCGCTTTATATATATAACCATTTGTTTTAATCTATTGAATATAAATTTTACAGTCTAGTGCTGTAGACACCCATTTGTGTCTCCCCAAAATCAAACCCAGTGATGAGTACCTTTCACGTCGAATCGTAATCGAATGAAGTGAAAGTGTGGAAAAGTCTAGTGTTGCGGAAAGTTTTAATTTTCTTTTCTCTTCTCTCTGTTTTTGAAAACTTTATTTTAAGAAAACAGCCAATCCAGTTTGTTTGATCCATGATATGGGTCCAATAGTGGTGTAGTTGGATGGGGCTTGCAAAGACCTTTCCAACGATATATTATAAGCTCAATTCCGATGAATATTGAGGAAGTTATGGCCAATTTACCAAACTGGGCCCGGTTTAAGCTTTATATGCGGCCCAATGATCTAGGGGAGGGCCTAATATGATTTATCATTCCTAATGCAATTAGGATTGGTTTTAGTTTTCTAGATTCTTCTAGAAGGTTCTTTTCATTCCTAATTCAATTAGCATTGATAAGTTGACTTTTCAGAGTTTTAATCAAAATCAAATAGCATTTTCGAAGAAATTATATTATTTTATCCTCCAGTATGGTAAACTTATCGGATTTTCGAAAATGCGTTAAAATCAAGCTTGGCGTCCAACCCAGGCCTGGCGCTAGTGCTGGGGCCTGGCGCCAGCTAGCCAGGGTTGGCGCCAGCCACTACTAGAAAATAGCTCGTTTCCGACGGAAAAATTCTGTCGGAAACACCCCAAAATCCGTCGGAAATGCCATTTCCGACGGAATTTCGTCGGAACCGGTTGTCGGAAAAGCCTTTGTAGGAAAAACGGCATCTTCCGACGGAAATTCCGTCGGAAACCTTTCCCCGACGAACTTTCCGACGGAATTCCGGTGTCGGAACAGATTTTCTGGCTCCGAAAAAGTCCGTCGCAACTTCCGACCGAATTGTGTCCGTCGGAAAGTTGTGACGGAATTTCCGTCGGAAAATACTTCAATTACAATAAAAAAAAAACGCCGCACCACCAGGGCACGGCGTGTCACCACCCTATCCCCAACTGCAGACCACCAACACCACTACCCCCATATAAGCCTTACCCTAACCACACCACCACTATCCTCACCCTTACCTGAACCACACCACCACTCACCCTAACCCAAACCAGACCCACCCCCTAACCCGATCCAGACCCACCCCGACCCTAACCTTAATGACCATTTCCACCACCCTAACCCACCCAAATCAATATCTACCACCAAAACAAACCCAGATCTACAACAAATCTGGCCATACCACCACCACAAAAAACCACCACCACAAAAAGCCACCACCGCCAAAATCCACGAATTTCAACCAAAAAAAAAAAAACAAAAAAACCCACGAAATTCAACCAAAAAAAAAAAGCACGAATTTCATCCAATAACCAAAAAAAAAAAAAATAAAACCAGAAAACATACTTTAACAACCGAAGCTTCCAATTTCAACCCGAATTTGGTTTAATACGGCTAAATTCGACCCTGAAACCTCTAGATCTAGAGATTTCATGGTCGAATTTGACCGTATAAACCATTAATATGAAATAGCAAGAGAACCATTAGTATGAAATAGCAAGAAATATGGTCGAATTCAGAAAGAGGAGGAGGAAAGAAGATGAGGAGAAAATAATAATAAAAAAAACAAAAGAAAAGAAAAAAGGGAGAGAGGAGACCGTGAGAAGTGAGGAAGAGGAGCAGAAACTCAGAGAAGATAAGAGGAAAAGAGGAGAGGAGAGGAGAGGAGAGGAGAAATAGAAGAGAGGCGGAGTGAGAAGAGAGGAGAGAGAAAGAGAAATTAGAATCTGTTTTAAAAGAGAGGAGAGAGGCGGAGTGAGAAAGAGGAGAGGAGAGGAGAGGAGAGGAGTGAGAAGAGAGAAGAGAGGGGCGCCGTTTTTAATTAGGGTTTGAGGGGTTTGTTTCTTTTTTTTTTTAAAAAAAAAAAATCCGTCGGAAAATTATAATATTCCGTCGTAAATTTACGACGGAAATAATATTCCGTCGTAAATTAAGTGATTTCCGACCGAATATTCCGTCGGAATTTTTCTACGGAGTAAAATCCGTCGGAAATCACTTAATTTACGACGGAATATTATTTTCGTCGTAAATTTCCGACGGATTTTCGACGGAAATTCCAAAGTCGTCGCAAATTTCCTACGAAAAATA